TCCTTTTTCTTCCCTTTTATTATTATTATTTATTTTTTTTCAGGGGGTGCTATTTTCTTTTTCTCCTCTTTTCCTCCTCTCCCCCTTTTTATTAATATTATTATTTTTTAAAAATTATCCTTATTATATATATTTTAATTTATTTTTCACCGGGGAGTAGAAAGAGCAGGGTGGGGAAAAACTATATTTTCCAGATCAGGCTGAGAAAGAGGTGGGGGTGGGGGCTTTATCTTGGTCTCAGGATCCTTCCTAGTCCGTCTGACAACCTGGAAGTGTTTGGAGAGAGCAGGAGGGAGAGCGAGCGAGGAGCAAGGCGAGCAGGGCTTGCATTGGATAGATCCTTATTTTTTTTCCCATTCAGGCTGGGTTTTCACATGCTGATCCGCCAATAAATAAATACCAACCATCATTAAGAATTACTACCAATAAAGAAAGGAAAGATGCACACGAGAAGCCTGATCCCATTGTAATTTCCTAATTGCAAAGGGGGAGGATTAAAAAAAAAAAACCCAACCCCATCCAAATAGGCACATATATGATATATATGGAGATGCATTGATTGCATGGAATTCGACACGCAAGGTAACAGCTCTTCCATTGCCATGTCTGTCCGTCGGTGTCTGTCATCTGTGTGTGTGTTTGTGTGTGAGCGAGGGAGAGAGAAAGGGGCTGTCATTGGTTAGCCCCCAACGGCGTCTGCCGAGGAGCTTGCGAGGCCTCGGGAGACTTGGGGTGCAGGGGAATAAACACGGCGGAGGGTTTTTTTTTTTTGGGGGGGAGGTTGCGTTTCCCAGGGCTCCCACCGCGGTGGGGTTGAGGGGGATGGGGGGGAGAAAGGCCGGGCAGGGGTGAAGCAGGAGGGTGGCTTGTTTTGCTTTGGGTTTTCTTCCCCCCCTTTATTTTTTTTCCTTTCTCCTTTTATTTCTTTCCCTCTTCTATTTCTTCCCCCTTTTATTTCTTCCCCCTTTTATTTCTTCCCCCTTTTATTTCTTCCCCCTTTTATTTCTTTCCCCTTTTATTTCTTCTCCCTTTTATTTCTTTCCCTTTATTTTCTTCCCCCTTTTTTTCCTTTCCTTTTTTTCCCTTTCCCCTTTTTTCCTTCCCCTTTTTTCCTTTCCCCCTTTTTTTCCTTCCCCCTTTTTTTTCTTTCCCCTTTTACTTTTTCTCTCCCCTTTCATTTTTCTTCCCCGCCTTTTTTTTTTTTTAATTTCCTTCCCCTTTATTTTTCCCTCTCCTCTCTCCAAACCCCATCCCGTGCTACTTTAGCAACGCAAGATGCTTTTTTTCCCCCATCCTGCCTCCGCGGCCTGGTTCTGTCAAGCTCCATTTCTTCTCAGAAGCTCTTGAAAAGGGGGAAAAAAAAAAACAAACCCAACAAAACAACAACCAAAACCAACCCCAAATAATCAGAACCCGCCGTCAGATGCTTTTGAAAAGGGGGAAAAAAAAAAACAAACCCAACAAAACAACAACCAAAACCAACCCCAAATAATCAGAACCCGCCGATCGCTCTTAGTCGCCACGTTATTTTTATTTTTGCCGTCACCCTCCCCCCCTTTTTAAAATCATCTTTATTTTTATACCTGTTAATTATTTCTGGTCGCTGAATCTCCCTGGAGCCGGGTGCTGCCATAGCCGGGTCCTTCTTTGTTTTAATCAACATTTTTTATTAATAAATGTAATTTGTTTCCCCCCCCCCCTTTTCCTCGCCCTCTCCTCTAACTTTACCAGCTCAGGAGAAATAATAAATAGCTCCAAACAGGAGAAAAATCGGTTTAAAACCGGATAAGCCGCAGTTCTCGAGCTGCAGAGGGAGAAAGACCGACAGAAAAAAAAAAAAGCAAAAGCAACAACAAACAACACAAGAGGGGGGAGAAAAGGAGGAGGAGGAGGAGGGGAAGAGAAAAGCCTTACATGGTCCCTGGAGCTGCTGCTCTGCCCCGCGGGCTGTGCCCGGGCAGCGCTTTCCCCCAGGGCCCCTCGGCCCCGCGCACTTTCCGCGCATTTTCCGCGCTCCTGGAGGGTTCGCTTGGCCCTTCCAGCCCCTGGCGAGGGGGGGGCGCTGGGAAAGGGGCGATGGGGACGGGAGGGAGGGGACAGGGGCCGGGGTCGTGCGGGATCTTTAGCTCCAAAAGTGTGAATCCTCTTGTCCTTTGCAATCCTATATATTCCCCACCGCTAGCAGGGAAGGGATTTTTCTCCCCCCTCCTTTCCACTTCCAATTCTCCTCTGTATTTAAAGGAGAATTGTCTTTTTCTCCCCCCTCTTTTTATTATTTTTTCCTTTCAATATTATTGCAGGGAAAAGAACTCATTTCAAAACATTCTCGTGTCCTTAAAACCCAATATTGCCTCCATATGCTGGGCCTTTCAGAACTGAATCCCTTTCTTTGAAACGAGCTGGAGATTGATTTTATTTAAAAAAAAGAGAAAAGCTACTGAAACTCCTGGAGAAAAAAAAACTATCAGATAATACAATCGCTTTGATTTCATTTTATTTGGGGATTTAAAACTTTTCCCGGGCCTGATAAAGAGATTTTAAAGCCGTGAGGGGGGGGGGGGGGAAAAGCGGCTGTGAAA